ACAACAATGATCTAATACATATCGATTTCACAGAAGACAATGTTGAAAAATCACTACGCAATCTAAAACCATCTCTATCTATTGGACCGGATGGAATATGTGCCTACTTCTTAAGAAAGCTATCCACTGCCATAGCCAAACCTCTAAGCATAATCTTTGAAAAATCTTTCAGGACCAGCTCCTTGCCTAACCTATGGTCACAAGCCACAGTCATCCCCATCTTCAAAAAGGGAGACCCAAGCCTAGTTGAAAATTACAGGCCAATCTCCTTATGCTGCGTCACCTGTAAAGTCATGGAATCAATTATTAACCAATCCATCATCCTCCACTTAGAGACAAACAACCTACTCTCCAATAAACAATTTGGTTTCAGAAAAAAACTATCCTGTAATCTGCAACTCTTACACTGCAAAAACATATGGACGACACAACTCGACCAGGGCAAAGCAATAGACGCAATCTACATAGACTTCTGTAAAGCCTTTGATTCAGTGGTACACGACAAACTACTCCTAAAAATAAAATCCTATGGTATCTCTGGACAACTGAATAACTGGATAGAAGCATTCCTGTCAAACAGACAACAAATGGTCAAAATCGGGAGCGTCCTATCAAATCCAGTACCTGTCAATAGTGGTGTCCCCCAGGGCAGTGTTCTAGGACCAACTCTCTTCATACTCTACATAAACGACCTCTGTGATCATATTAAGAGCAATTGCGTTCTCTTCGCTGATGATGTAAAGCTGTTCAATACCACAGACAATACTGCTACCCTACAAAAAGATCTTGACTATGTATCTGAATGGTCAAACAAATGGCAACTTCAAATCTCAACAAATAAATGCTCTGTCTTACATATTGGCAAAAAAAATCAGAAAATAAAATACAAGCTGAATAGTCAAGATCTTGTTGATGACCCAAGCTCTGTAAAGGACCTTGGAATACTCACCTCTAATGATCTAAGTGCTAGAGCCCACTGCAACTACATAGCCAAAAAGGCATTAAGAGTTGTTAACCTAATCCTACGTAGCTTTTTCTCTGGTAATATCACACTACTAACCAGAGCATACAAAACATTTGCTAGACCAATACTCGAATACAGTTCATCAGTCTGGAACCCTCATTACGTATCTGATATTAGCACAATTGAGAAAGTCCAGAAATATTTCACAAGAAGAGTTCTCCACTCTTCTACTCGTTGTAGAATACCTTATGCCACCAGACTTGAAATTCTAGAACTAGAAAACCTTGAATTACGCCGTCTTCGGTCTGACTTAAGCATGGTATATAAAATCATACATTGCAATGTCCTACCTGTCAATGAATACTTCAGCTTCAACCATAACAACACAAGAGCACACAATAGATACAAACTCAAAGTAAACCGCACCAAACTTGATTGCAGGAAATACGACTTCAGCAATAGAGTGGTCAATGTCTGGAATACTCTACCCGACTCTGTAGTCTCTTCCCCAAACCCCAAAAACTTTAACCTTAGACTGTCTACTATTGACCTCACCCCTTTCCTAAGAGGTCTGTAGGGGGGGCGTGCATAAGCGCACCAACGTGCCTACCGTCCCTGTCCTATTGTTTCTCTTATTCTTTTATTTTTCTTATATGTACCCATTTCATGTATTCACAACTATGTATACACTTATACTTATTATCTTGTAAACAATTGGCAAATCAAATAAATAAAAATAAAAAATAAATAAAATAAATAAATAAACTTATGAGCTTCCAACTTATCTTTTCCTAGTACTTATCTAACATTCCAGCATCTATGCTACCTTGATCTCCTCATAAGCAAGACCATAACATTTCTGCTTTGAACCAAAATTATGTAAGAATTTGCTTCTTGGGAGAAGTTTAATAGGGAGATGGGCTGAGATATCACCTAGATCAGGGGTCTCCAACCTTGGCAACTTTAAGACTTGTGGACTTCAACTCTCAGAATTCCTCAGCCAGTTCTGGCTCAGGAATTCTGGAAGTTGAAGTCCACAAGCCTTAAAGTTGCCAAGGTTGGAGACCCCTGACCTAGATGGAAATGTGCTCTGCCTCACCATTTAATCTCAGAAGGGTTGTGAAGCAGTTCTTGAACCAGGTGATGGACTCAATGAGAGATTCTTAAGTGAATGGCAGAGGCCATCCAGATGTGTTTTTTAAATCTTCTGCTAATACGTTCTACCTCCTGGCAACATTCATAACACAGTCGAAGGACAAAGATCGAAGAAGAAGCTTGGCAGATTACTTTCCTAACTCCAGGAAGAAAACTGCATGGGTGTATCATCCAGAGTCAAGTTCAATTCTATGTAGCAGCCCGATAAAGTAGACCACATCAGGAAATAAGGCAAGATAACTAGAACTATATTAAAGTCAACCAAAGTAGCAGAAGCTTGCAAGTGTGGTTGCACTTTTCTTCCTCCCAACACACCAATACCGCAATGAGTCACTTGCTAACACTGTCTCCTTTTACAGTGGAGAGAAAAGGTTTGCACTAGTAACAGCTGGATTCCAATAAGTTCAATGCATACACCCTTCTACTGTCATTACATCATTGCCATATTCCTCAATCATTGTGTCAGAAGAATAACTTGGGGTTCCAATTTGAGCCAGGCTTGTGCAAGAATAAATAAAAACGGGACCCAGACTGCTTTGAGGAAAGAAGAAATATTTATTCCTAAAAGCAAAACAGTTTGCCTTTAGGGCTAGGCTGCAGAGAAATGGGGTACAGTGGCAGATTTTTATCTGGAGCTTGTCCAGGGTAAAGTGTCTATGTGCTGAATTTAGGGTGACACTTGAGTTGTGTTTGTGTGTGTATGAAGGTATGTTTATTCTTGTGAGCATGTAGTTCCTCTGGGAGACCTAATTTAATTAACTCTGTATTTGTGGGCCCCACACCTAGAGTACTGCATCCAGTTTTGGTCACCACATTATAAAAAAGATGCTGAGACTCTAGAAAAAGTACCGAGAAGAACAACCAGGATGATTAGGGGACTGGAGGCTGAAACACATGAAGAACGGTTACAGGAACTAGGCTTGGCTAGTCTAGTGAAGAGAAGGACCAGGGGAGACATGATAGCAGTCTTCCAATATTTGAGGGGCTGCCACAGGGAGGAAGGGGTCAAGCTATTTTCTAAAGCTCCTGTAGGCCAGACAAGGAATAATGGATGGAAACTGAACAAGGAGAGATTTAACCTGGAAATAAAGAGAAACTTTTTGACAGTGAGAACAATCAACCGATGGAACAGCATGCCCTCGGACGTTGTGGGAGCGCCATCACTTGAGACTTTCAAGAAGAGATTGGACTGCCGTTTGTCAGAAATGGTGTAAGGTTTCCTGCATGGGCGGAGGGTTGGACTAGATGACCTACAAGAACCCTTCCAACTTTGATCATCTGTTATCTGTTATCCTTTGATAGGCGGATTAGGTCTGGGTAACTTATTTAGGAGTTTGAGGAAGTTGCTAATTTTAGTTGATTAACATAGTTTCAGCTTGACTGTCCATTATGTAGTGGAGGCACTGATTCTCAAACCATTGTGGATTCTGTTAATATTTTAAGGGAAGATGGAAACAGTATAAGGAATAAAACATATTTGGGTATAAAATTTCTCACAACTGAAAAAATGAGGGGGAGAAATGCAGCAGGCTTAGAAGGATTGCCTTCCCCTGACCTATTCTAAGCAGGGAAGCATGCAGTGTGGGCCTCCTCTCAGATCTCTCGTATATACTAGAAGAACCAGCAGCATCTGTGGCTCAAAGCAAGTTTGATCAATGGACTGGCTGATGTTTTTGGACAAAAAAAAGCTTTGCAATAATTATTCCCATTCTGGTAACCACCTGCTTGGGTCAATGATCTGTAGGATATCTGGGACTGCTTTTGAACATTGTCCAAAAGTTTCAGCTAATCAAAACCAGGACAGCTTAGTGGGACCTGCCCATCCAAACACATTATGCTTGAGCTTGACCATCTGCATTAGCTGTGGTCTCTTTCCAGGTCCAAATCAAGCAATTGATACTTAACTGTTGAAGCACTGATTGGTTTGGGCAGGGTTCCTGGAGGGACATCCTCTCTGCCATAAGGCCCCTGGCTGAAGGTTCTCAAGTTCTCATTTCCATCTTCAAGCAAATGCATCAAAAACATTTAGCTTTGGGAGAGGAAAAAGGAGGCCATGTAAAAGAAGACTATGCATTACAGGAATACATGTGAAGCTCTCTTTTGGGGAGGAAGAGTAATAATTGACATTAGAGATGTCAGAGGAGCCAAAAAAAAACTCAAGATGGCAGCTTCGATCATATTGTTGCAGCCACACCACAGTAACCTTTTTTTTTTTTCATCACCTCTATGGCTGATCCTGAGACAAACTGTCAACAGAACAAGAGCGAAGCAACCTGCTGCTTCTAGCTCTCTCAGCCTCTTTTCACTCCTTCTGTCCCAGCTCAATGGCCTCCGATTTGATTAGATCCACACTATTGCTATAGGTAAGCTCAAAGGCAGGAAGCCTCGCTGTGGAATACCCACTGTTGAGCAACATCAGTGGGCACCAGTTTCTGGGCAAGTGGGCATCTCAGGGTCTGAGCCTCTGGGCAGAAGTCCATAAGGACCATATAGTTTGAGATACTATGTCTGCACCCATTCAAAGTAAGCACAAGTAACTGACTGGCAATGCTTTAATTCACCTTTCCCTCCTCCCGCCTCCATTTCTGCTCAGCCAGACCAGCCGGCTTCTCCACTCCCTCCTAGGTCTGTCTCAGCCACGTGCACACCTGCCACTGCTCCTCCTCCTCCTCCTCTTTCCCCCTCCTTTGGCAAGAGCTTGAATCCAGCAGTTTGCTCAGCCTCTTTTCCATCTCTCCCCCTGGGCTTTTGTCTTTGTCTTTTCTCTCTGGGTCCCTACAACAGCCTGGAGGAGGAGGAGGAGGAGGAGGAGGAGGAGGAGCTTCAGACATCATCTACTGGGGAGAATCAGCAGGGACCACTTGCTGAGCTGGCGAATACGGGACAGCAATTTCTGCAGCCAAAGCATCAAGGTAAGTTTCCACCAGATTGCATCTGCAAGGAAATGGCATGTAGTGACCTAGACTGGACTGCCCTAGCCTGATCTAGCAAGAAGAAGGAGAATTGCATTTCCTTGGGCTACGTCGTTACATTGCTTAGTTCTACCAGCATCAGGAGCCAGGTGGATAGAAAGTTGCTACTTGCTAGGAAAGAGTGAAACAGGGACCCAGGGGGGTCCATAGCGGGGAGTGATGCACCCAAAACCCTCTATCAATCCTTCTAGATATCACTCTCTGTCAATCCAGATAGAGAAATAGAATCATTCTACCTGATGGAAATTCAGAGGCTATCTAGCCCAACTCTTCTGTTAATGCAGGGAACCCGTTGTAGCATCATAGCTAATAAATAACCACCAGAAGGAACAAGACACTAGTAAAATGGAATAGAATATATCTCAGAGTTGGTTGAATGCCTCTTGTATTTAAATGTAGTCATTTATTTCCACCCTTGTCCACCATATTGGGCAGCTTGCTAAATGCCCAACAGATATACCTGAACATTCACTAATCTCTTAATGATGACTCTCTATCCTGAATTTTGGAGAGGGCATTATAATTCTGTCCTTTTGCTTTACATCTCTAGGTGTTCTTGTTTCCCACACCTAACAGAAAAGGAGCAGAAGTTGAATATTTTGGTGGAAAAGAGTCAAATTTGCCTTTGACCTCTGGTTTAGAAACTTCATTGTAGACCAATGAATCTTTTTTTACATACACACTGAGGCAGAAACTTTACTCAACTGGAAAGATATAGAATTGCTGGGATAATGACAGCCTTGGGGAAAATGTGTGGGTCAAATGAAATCAATCATTGCCTATAGCAGAATATTGATTCATTCTGTGGCACTGTTGTTTTGCTGGCCTTGTTCCTTAAAAAAAAAAAAGGAACAATTTCCTGCAGCCAATGGTCCAGGGTCAGTGAGAGTTCTTCTATTGTAAGCAAGGATTATATCATATTTTTTAACCCCATTGTCCTTGGTCTCCTTGTAGCTGGAAGGCGCTAAGAGAAGATGAACAAAAGTGATCCTGCCTGGGGAAGCAATGCCAAGGACCCAGATGAGAAAGAGATATCGCCTTGCTTGGTCAGCCTAGGGGCCCTCCTCTACTACTGCATCCTGCTGTGTGTGGGTTTGCCTGGTAAGACAAAAATCAAGAAATCAGACAGCTCCACAGGTGTGTCAGGGAGATGTATTCATGCATACTTCCAGCAGGTAGGAGGAGGAAGAGAAGCAGCAACAACAACAATTCATAGTTGAGAGATTTTATGGTTATTTGTTTAAGTGTCTGGGGTAGTACTGCCAAGCTGACACATGGGGGGGTGGAGTATGTAAAAGGGCACAATAAAAACTCCATCCTATCAATTCAAACAAATACAGTCCAGAAACCAAATCACATTTTAAAAGCCTGCAGAAGGAGGGACTCAAACATTTTTTGCGGGAAAGACTGCCAAGAAAAAAAAAATGGATTCCGCTGAGAAGAATCTGTCTCTAGTGGCTATCAGGAGAAAATGGTTGGAAATAGGAGCTAAAGGCCACCATAGAGAATAGGAGATAGAAATGGAAGGGACATATATCCCTCACAGATTAAATACAAACAAGCCAGGGAGCTGCAAAAGGATGACAAACCAAGGTAAACAGCTGCTGCAAAGCATGAAAAATAAAACGTATCCAGCCAAATTTGAGAAGGTATATTTTCAGACAAGGATTATAACGAAGGAAATTAACTGAGCCCTTCATTTTAAAACCAGAAGTGTTTAATGTTTTCCTTTACATGTAACTGCAGTGGGGTTCACTGATTATTGTACAGCGCTTATCTCTTACCAGCATTCACATGTTATATTGGTAAGTGACAAATAGAAAATGTTTGTCCTTAGTGTGGGAAAGATGTTAAACTATGGGGGGAAAAAGGACTGTAGAATTCCCATAGGATTGATATATAAAGGAATACTGTAAGCGAAGTATTATTACAGTAAGGACTGGGGTTATTTTTCTAGGAATACTCAAGATGCAATATATAGGAATTATAGTAAAATATGGTAAAATACCTTAATAAAGTTTATATTACTAAACTTGTTTATTTTGTAGCTAGGTTTATATGCTGCTTTTTGCTCAAGAGCTCGAAGCAATGCAGGCACTGCTCAGGTTATGAGCAAGTCCCGTTCCTGTGTTTAATTCTAATTTGTATTTAAGTCAGAACTCATACTTACAAATGGACTGCCTATGACTAAAACTGGCAGACAACATTCTCCTTCCTCAAGCCGACCAACAGCGGAAACCACACAAAATTTCCATGAACCATTGAAAACACACTATTTGTTAAATGTACATAGTTTCAGTGGTTCATGAAAGCATTGCTTGGCTTCAGCAATTCTTTAGCTGAAGGAAGAATCAACAGTCTGTTTGTAAGTTGTCCGTAAGTCAGTTGTTCTCATCCTGGAGGCTGCCAGTCCACAGTGCTTCAGACCTCTTACAGCATTTCCCCCCATAAAACAACAAGACTGCCATCAGCCTAAACTCACCTAGGGAGCTGTGCTCAGTCTAGATTCTAGATCTCTGTAGGATTTGGTTCAACATTTTAATTACTATTCCACAATCACCACAACTTCTGTTAACTTCTTGATGTATTTTCATCAAAATCCTTCCAACGGAACTTTTTTTTCACTTCTCCTGTGCTCATCAATATTAGTAAAAAAAAATAAATCATAAAATGTTAAGAGCACAGATTTTGGAGGGCATCCAGTCCTTCCAATAACCTATTCAGTGTAAGAGATCAGTATGTTCTCCGATGTCTACTGATTTTTTTTTAGCAAAGGGAAATCCAAACTTTATTTCTTGTCCCAACATTTTAATGCAAGGTCAGGAATTTTTTTAAAAAAAGAAGACTATAGGAAGGTGAGGGGGAAAAGTTTATTACAGTGGGTACAACTTTACTCATACGAACAGTCATAGTGTTAATTTCAAGATGAACACCAGAGGGAGCTATCACCTAACAAAGATGTGGAGAACATGGATGGCCTCCCCCTAGGGCTAGGTAGTTTTATGAGTCCCTAACAAGGGGAACTGGGACTGCTGGCTCAGAGAGAAAAGTATGAAATCTGCTTGCTCCACAACTCCATTAGTGTTTGCATCTACAATGCCAGCGATACTGAAAATGATGTGTTTTCACAAAGCCCTGGTATTACTTCAGCAGTTCATGGGAATTAGCCTCCTCTGTTTTGAAATGTCAATGGTCACTGTGGTATACCTTATCACAGGGGTCTGCAATGCTGGCAACTTTAAGACTTGTGGACTTCAACTCCCAGAGACCCTTGCCTTATGCCATTCCAACCAAATGGCTGTCCAATCTCTTCTTAAAAACCTCCCCGTGTTGGAACAACTTCTGGGGAGGCAAGTCATTCCATCAATCAGTGCTCCAATAGTGGAGGTTTTTAAGAAGAGATTGGACAACCATTTGTCTGCCTGACTAGAGGGTAGGACTAGAAGGAAGACCTCCAAGGTCCCTGCTATTCTATTGTTCCTATGTAAGAACATGCCTGAGAGACAGGAGGAGGAAGAGCTGCAGACTAGGGACTGGTCAGATAAGAGGCAGCTTAGCTCACAGAAAGAATGAGAGGAGGACCATCTCCAAAAGGAAACCCCTCCCCCGCCCCAAGTTTCTTAGATTGTAAAGGTAAGGAGAAAATCTCTGAAAGGAACCCCCACCCCAAATTTGTAAGGTAAAGGTAAGGGGGGAGAGAGAGAGAGAGAGAGAGAGAGAGAGAGAGAGAGAGAGAGAGAGATGTACTTTCAGACTTGCAACAATAAAAATAGCGTTAGTATTCATGGTTGGTGCTTCTTGTCTGAATTACTTCTCAGGGGTGACACTTTCCTACTTCCTATTTCATTGGTGTAATTGGGTCCCAATACAATGACTGCATCTCTAGTCCTTCTGGCTGACACCCGTATCTGTTTGTTATCTTTCCCAGCTTTATTTTATCTTGATAATAGCCCCGTCAAGGACAAATAAGCTAAAGAGAGGCCATTTGGGACAATTTTGCAGAAACCAAATATTAGTCAGAGTTATGCATACAAATACTAATTCATCCTAAAGCACTTTTAAACTCCTTATCTACAGAAAACTTTTATTACCTTTTTATTATCTTTTCTTCCCTGTTCAAGTTAACATTTTAACTGCCGCTGCACTTTCCCGCCTTGCTGCTCGTACCCGGAAATCCTCGTACTGCTACCTCTTGGCGCTCACCACTTCTGACATCCTGACTCAAGTCTTTGTGGTCTTTGCTGGCTTCATTGTGCAGGCAGCCATCTTGGGCCGCGAAGTGCCAGGTGCCTTTGCCCATGCAATCAACATCTTACAGTTCACGGCCAATCACACCTCCATCTGGATGACAGTACTGTTGACTATGGACCGTTACGTGGCCCTTTGCCATCCCCTGCAGTACAGGGCTATCTCTTATCCAGAACGCACCCAGAAGATAATTGCTGCCATGTTTACAGTCTCACTGGCTACTGGAGTTCCTTTCTACTGGTGGCTAGATGTTTGGCATGATGTCTCCCCGCCCAGCACTATGGACAAAGTCCTGAAGTGGCTTCATTGCTTCATCATCTACTTCATTCCCTGCACTGTCTTTCTGATGACAAACTCTGTTATAATCTACAAGCTCAAGCGATCAGGAAATCCCAACGGCCGCCTCAGCAGAACCACAGCCATCTTGTTGGCCGTCACCACTGTCTTCATTGTCCTCTGGGCTCCACGGACATTTGTCATGATCTACCACCTCTACGTGGCATCAGTCAATCAGGACTGGCGAGTACACCTGGCCTTGGATGTTGCCAACATGGTAGCCATGCTCAATACCTCCATCAACTTCTTCCTTTACTGCTTTGTCAGCAAGACCTTCCGGCGTACTGCCCGTGAAGTGCTAGTCTCTTACAGATTCCAGTGTACCCAATCATCAAAGAAGGACACCACTTTGGAATTGACTCTGAAACCCCTGGGGGTCTGGGCTAGGACTTCGGTTTAGGGAGATTATCATCCTTCTGCAAACCAGCTCAACTTTGGCTGAATGTGGATTCCATGGGCCTTTTGGTGCACTGAGATGTTGGAGAATAAGGACCTCCTTTGTGGCCCTTCAGGAAAAAAGGGAAGGAGATAGTGAAGTAGCTTCATTCAGAGATGCTTTGTGTTCATTCTTTATTCTATTTTAAGTAATGAATTGTTTGGGGAAGGAAGGAAGGAAGGAAGGAAGGAAGGAAGGAAGGAAGGAAGGAAGGAAGGAAGGAAGGAAGGAAGGAAGGAAGGAAGGAAGGAGGGAAGCGTTCATCCTCCTTTTATTTTATGGACTTATAACCCTCATCCTTGTTCAGTGAGGTGAGCCAACCCTCAAAGACTCACTGCCATTTGAGATGTGTTCCACCTCAGTGAAATGCTTTAGTGTATGACAGAATGACGAATGTCTGGTTTATCCCCAGCTCCTATTCACAATATCTGTTCTGATTCTGATTCTTCCATAGCCAGGGCAGTATATACAGTATTTAAAGAAAGCAAGAAGGGATGTTTGTGGTGCATTGATTTCCCAATTACGAAAGGCAAAATACAAGGAGATCTTGAAGAAGCCATGCCCTAGGACTGAAAGTGAGAAAAATAGTAATATCCATGTGTTTAGAAGGGTGAAACTGGCAGAATTGTTTCAAGCAAGTAATCCCTTTGTGTGGTAAATGTCTCTGAGCCAGATAATCCATTCCACACTTTCAAAATTCCAACATTCTTCACTCCTCACTCCTCACCCCTAACTTTCCACTCCCATAAATATTTGTCTTTAGGTGAGTTTCTCTGAGTTTTTTTCTTTCTCCTCCTTTGAAAAGCTTCTTTCACACCCTTTTGGAGGGCCTGCCAATCTGGCTGCTTCCCAAATAGCTCCAAGCACCACTGCCTGGGAGGAAAGCCAGCTATGTCCCGCCAAGCATCAACTCATGCTTTCTCCCAGAGGAACAGACAGAGGCATGTAGTTCAGCTTCAGACACTGGATGTAAACCTGTTGGGACATTCATATGGTCTCCCATGTACAATTGGGAGGTCTGTGCAGAGAAATGAGAAGCAGACTTCTTCCATGAGCTGAAGCTTTTTGATAAAGACAATCCAACCCAACATTCATAAAAAAAATATTAAGTAATCATTAGTGTGGCTCTAACATGTTGTGTGAAGGTAACTATAATGGTTTAAAAGCCATGGTTTATGGCTTAATCTGAGATAATTTAAATTTATTCAATAAACCAAGTTTCTATATGATTTAGCCCAAGTTGTGTGAAATGAATCCGTGTCACTGAGGATCCTTACCATTTGTCTTGAATGAACTACTTCTCCTTCATGTGGGAAATCTGTGCTTAGGCTATACACCATGTCAAACTGTCCACAAGGATCAATTTGTTATAAATTCCACAAGTCAATGGAGAATGCTTATATTTGTTTTGTGTAGATAAGACAATTTTCAAGTCTGCTTAACTTTTGTTGTTACTATTGACTTACTATTAATGAAGGCTGTGTTCATACTTGAAAGGCTGGCTACCAATCTAATCTATTCACTTGAGAAAGGTTATTGCATAGTTGGAGAAGTTGGAGAAAAGGGCAATTAAAAGGCTAAAAAAAAAAGCAGAACAATTTAATTTTATTTAACTTAGGGGATAAATTACCCACCACCCTACAAAGGGGGTTTGAAGCTTTTTGCCTAAAATTAACATATATTCAAAGTAATTTGAGGAATTCAAAAGTAGGGCTATTTCTCTCCATTTTGTGTGACAGAATTTTTGATTCAGTAGTCTGATCAGACAATTTCCTTTTTGTTCAGGCAATTTTTTTAGTCCATGGTAGGGATGCTAGTTGCTAGGGACATAATAGTATTTAAGGTACGTGGATAGAAACCAGGAGATGGTGAGTTATAGACCCACTTTAGGAACGAAAGCTGGCTGGATGACTTTGGGGCAGCCACTCGTTCTCAGCCCAATACTCCTCATAGGGTTGTTGAGAGAAGAAGGAATGTTACTGCCAGTTCTGTGGGCGTGGCTTGGTGGGCGTGGCAGGGGAAGGATACTGTAATCCATTCCAAACTACTCAAACTACTTATTTGCTGGTTCTCCAAACTACTCAAAATTTTCGCTACCAGTTCTCCAGAACTGGTCAGAACCTGTTGAATACCACCTCTGCTATGGCTCCTTGCCTTTCTTTATGGCCAAGGAAAAAGCTAGTTACTAACTTGCACAGCTAGGATGAAACAAGAAGGCTTTCCCAGCTGGGGACTTCCAGATTTGAGGTGCTCACATGTCCAGTAAAGTTTTAGCCAGCATTGAAAAATGCTATTCTCAGAGAGGATAAACCTGCTTTGGGATAGTAACACACATTCCCAAGCAGGATATGGCAAACTGTGGGTGAAGACTATTTTCATACTCTTGAAATAATATTTTTGTAACGTCCTGTGTTTGGTAGGTACTAGGGAAGCACGAAGAGAAGCTGGCATAGTTCTCTACCAGATGGCTTAGTTTACTGCAAAGAGGAAAATTATGTTTTATGGAACTTTATAAAAGGAAGACTCCTCCCACCATGTTCTGAAGTTGTAGAAGCCTCCAACCCCCCTCCCCTCTCCTCTATTTCCACTGAGCAAGCTGGAAAGGCCCTCTGGTTATAGCGTTATAGTACTTCTTTCCCTCAAGGCAAGAACAATTTCTCACAGTTGACTCTCCAACGTTTAGCCGCCTTTAATTCATTGTTCATGAATAAACAGACACGCTGATCTGGCTTGGACTAAGCTAGCCAGAGAATGCCGGCACAAATCCTTTGCTTGAATTACCCTATTTTAGCTTCCTTTGGCAGATCTATGGCTGCTTTGGCAGCTTGCAGCAAAGCGGTAAGCAGGTAGAACTCCATTTCTTCCTTCATCATTTATTGTGCAAACTCAAGCATGACCCTCCTGAGTCTCTTTTGTACGGCCTTCTGGTGATGTCACTCTTCACTAACCACTAACTACCGCTACCTCCATGGCCCATGAAGCTCAGAGAAAGAGACCATTTCAGCTGAAAGAATAATCCACATTCTCCTCATGTCAAAGAAGAAAGGAAAACAGTAATTTCGCACTCCTCTACTGTTGCACCTGCCCGCCACCTGCTTTGCCACAGACCAACATCAAGGAAGACAAATATCTGGCCAGTCCTAGCTTGTCAGTTACAAAGGGAAATAGCTCCATTGAAGGGCAAAAAAAGTGGCTCATTGTTTGTTTAACTGAATGAATAAACACCTTGATCAACTCAAGGCTGAGTTAGAGGGCTATCAAAAATTGTAGGATTAGTAATTTACCACTGGACCCTCTCAGTGCCCCTTGCAGGTCCCAGAAATTGGAAAATCGACCAAGAGAAACACCTGGGAGGGAGAACTATTTGTTTTCTTCTTTACTGGTAGCCTGATCAGATCAGGCTACTTATTTCTCTTGAGGTATACCCGACACAGTGCCCTGCTTGCACAATACATTCACCAAGTCAGTTTAAAAACCTAGGAACTACCTTCACGAAGTGCATGAGCCATCACTTGCTTAGACCTTGGTTCATCTTTTAGGTGTCTTAGCAAGCTTGTTTGGTTAATTCAGGTTTCAACAAATAAACTCAGAGTCAGATTTAAGATGTTGTGCAAATGCAGCATTCCTGATTTGCAAAGGAGAACAGCAAGATAGGAATAGAAGTTTTTAAAAATCTCAGAGCCCCAGAATTTTTGATCCTTGACTACATATGGTTTAGAGAAGAGCTCCATCTCCCGTCATAGCACAGAGATCACCCAGTTGGAATGAGAGATAGACATCTATGGATATCTAAAGCTCTCTGCCCCAAGGCTCGGCTGCACACCCACAATTGTATGCTTTTCTCCCATCTTTGACCCAGGAAGAAAGTCTTGTCATTTTAGATGCCACTGCCCCTTTATGCAATAAAATGCTTATGGATTAGCCAGTCTGGAGATCTTGAGTTATTATTTGATCATAAAGGTATCTGTTCAAGATATGCATAAATAATAATAAAGAGATGGAGAGAACACTTAACTACAGGATCAATCAAATGCAGGGCAAGTACAGGGAAGCGGGAAAATGGTGCCAAGCACTTCAATCAGTCTCTAGGAACTTTGGCCAGGAGGGAGAGAATATCCATGGGGAAAGCAAAGGACTGGGAAAAGGAACAAAGGGCCAAATTGAGACTGTCAGCCTCTGGAACTTTTAAGAAATGTAGACCTACTCTCAGAATTCCCTACACTAAGGAATTATGGGAGTTGAAGTTCATACATCTTAAAATGGCCAAGGTTGAAAAAACACTGATTTAGTATCACCTAATGGTTCCTTCCTACAAATCAGAATATTCGCAGGAGGTGCAGGAGTTAACATTTGCTGTTGGAGGCCATGGATCACTTGGAACCTGTTTCAGCCTGCCAAGGAGAACTTTTCAAGAAATGGTTAATGGGCCACCTCAGCTGCGGCAAGGAAACAGCAGGCTTGTTTTCCATTGTGCAAATCAACCAGCAGTGAAAGAGTCAAGATGAGGCTTTGTCAGGCCAATTATTGTTTCCATTCCTACAACTGAGCTGTCTGAGAATGAAACCACTTGGTTGTTTCTTGCATACATATTCATATAACTCTGCAAAAACAGATGTTTCTTAGAATGTGTTGCTCTTTGTATGATACTTACGATTTGATGTTTATTATTATTTATATTCCACTTTGATTATGGTTATAATTAACTCAAGGTGCCAAACCTACCCAATACTCCTCTCTCCTCCTATTTTCCTCATAACAACAACTGTGTAAAGTAAGTTGGACTGAGAAAGGGATGGTACTGGCTCAAGTGCAACCGATCCAGAAATAAATCACAATAGCTATCAAATATAACCAATTTCATGGCATCCCAACATGCCAGAGCTGATTTCAACTTAGTGCACAGCCCACCACTGGGAATGTCCTGAATTGTTTAACAATAGAACGGGAGTAAACAGATCTTGAGAAAGAGGCCAGTGATACTGGATGTTCAGGATTATTGTTCTTAATCAACACTTGGTTTCAATAAGCAAAACCAAAAACAGAATCAGCATAGTCTAAAACAATCTCCTTATCAGTCCTGTCATCCTTCTGATTAAGGCTCCTAATCTGAAAGAAAAAACTGCCCAGATAAATGTACAATTCCCAGTTCACCTAATTTCGTCTAGGACACCAACAAGCTTCTAAAAAATAATGATTAAACAAGGCTTGGCTTGGATTCTATTTGACTGGACAATAGCCTAACCGGTTAAATATTTCCAGAGACTCCAGGAATCAGTGTAATGTTTAACACCAAACACAAGACAGATGAAGACATAGATTATTTAGTAAATTTGTTCCCTAAATCCTTAGGGATCAATTACAAATACACTGTGGACAGAAAATGTGAAAAATTTCAGTTTGAAAACTCTTCTATCACAAAAATATCTAGCAGCTTCAAGTATTTCTGTGCTAGTTATTGGTTATCTAACATTTCACATTAGCAGCTTGTTACTGCATTTGAAGGAACTGGGTGTTCAGAAATGTTCCAGTTTTTTAGTGTTTTAGTGTATAAATGTCCAGGATGACTGGACCCTTGATACTGGTACTATTTTTCTCATCCAGCACTTACCAAAACTTAACTTCTTCATGAAAGTAGAAGTGCTGGGTATGGTCTCCAAATGCGCCAAAAAAAAAAAAAAAAAAAGACAAGGACAATGGAAATAATATAATAACAAAAACTAAACCAAAGCAAGATGTTGCACTAACTGACCTCCAAATTTCTTTCCAGCTCTGTGATTTTGCAATCCAAAAGTGCTGATCCTCAGTTTACCCCTATGATTCCTAAAATGGCATAGTTACACACTTGGAAGTAGATGCCAGTGAGAGGGAGGCTGGCTTGATAAAACACTCCTTGACCCATAGATGATCTGGATATAATGCTGAATGTAACAGCAAATAAGCCCCATGAAGCCTTGAGAATGTGTTGGCTGTAGAAAGCCAGGCTAAATCCCAGATCCCCTAGTGTGGGGGTGTCAAACCCACGTCGTCACGGTGGCGGCACATGACATAGCGGGGCTTTTTTCCCTTTCACTAAATCGGGTGTGGGCGTGGGCAGTGCTTGATACATCCGGCCCCTGGGCCAGGAGTTTGACAGCCCTGCCCTAGGGCAGTGTTTGTCACTTTGGCTTGGTGTGGCCAACTGCAGAGAAAATTTAACTGCTACTAACTCCATCCAGTAGTTTCAGAAATCTCCATTGTTCTTGAAGCTCTGCTGACCATGTATCAATTGTAGTGATGGCTTAAATGTGGTATACCACAGTAGCAAATCCTTGAGAAATTTGCCAGGTGCAAAGTATTTTTACTCTTGGGAAGGTACACCACCAATATCAAGCTGGGTATTGTTTTTCCGCATGTAGTCCTGTTCTCCATAATAGATTTTCCATCCCACATTCTTTGGCCTGTTCTTCCCACAAACAGACTTTTCATGACGGCTATTGCATATTTAAGATGGCTGACATATTTGCTATAATGAAAACCCAGCAGCTTTGGTTAGTTTCCTGGTGTTCAGTGATCTTCACATAGCTTATGGTACTTTTGGTTTTGTTTCTTTCAAGCTAAGGCATCCTTAGATAACTCTGGACAATGGTCAATCACCTCATTCAAGTTTTTGAAAGTGGGATGCTTCCTAGGTGCTTCAACAATTTTTTTTTGTTTCGTTCAATATTTTCTGAAACATTTAGCAAGGGATGCATGCAGCGTTTCAGGGAGTCACGTCAATTTCTTGAGATATATTGTTGGTAGGAATGACTCACTCTTCCAAATTAGATGCAATTAAAAACCTGAAACATTCCTATAAAAACCTGGCACCAAACCCACTATTTTTGGAGACAATTAAAAAATCAAGATCATGCATAATCAAAATGGTTTTTAGGGAAGGTTTCTCTCTCTAGCTGTGATTTCCCTACTGCTAAGAAGAATGCTGAAGACTTCTATAACTTCTATCTATACCTCCTATTCATATTGTAATTTTGGCACATCACTCATCTCTGCCTAACCTTTTCACCTGTAGTTAGCCAAACATTTCTGGGAATTGAATAAACAGAGCGCAAGGGCAAAAGCATTCCTTTACTATTTGTCCTCCTCAACTTTAGACCTTGAATAAAGAAATAGGGTAGCTTTATTGAACTATCATAGCAACTGGGATCAGTTACCATAGGTGGTAACTGTTGTCTTACTAAAGACTACTCATTTCTTTCAAAGCCTCCCTCCTAGAATGCACTTTATGAGCTATAAATTAGCCAAACACTTTTTAAGCTAGTCCACTTGTGTGACTGTTGAGTATGTGCCAAATGTACACTGCAAATCCAAGAGAATTGTGTTAATTTAATTCAGTAGTTAACTATGACTAAGCATATTGTGTCAACACAGCCAAGAAAACCCCCCCCCCCCCCCCCCCCACACACACACACTTATTTTACTTTTCCAAGTAAGAGGCTTCTGATTAAAGGGTGGAGCCAGAAAAAGAAGTGTCAAATCTAGACTACAAGTTCCCTTACTGGATATGTGATTCAGAATCTGAGCCTTTTTATTTTGACATACTGCAGCTAGGACCTGCCAGGCAGCCATTCATGCATAAAATAGTGTTGTAACCAGAACAAGGCCACCTCATAAATGGTGAGATAAGGAGCAGCCCTGAAACAGAGGCTTGAAGGTCACTGTGATCCAAGCCCAGATGAATTTACAACATTAATAATTGTGCCCCCTCAGAGGGAAGCTGCATCAGCTGGGAGAGAACTGTTACAGGCCAAGAATTTGGGTTACACTATGAAAACATTCATTCAGATCAGATCCCTGCGTAATCTGGTGGACTGAGAGATGCCAATGGCAGGCCTATCATAAAAGAGACTAAGCTGTTTACCAAGTTAACAAGGCCACTCCTGTAACTCTTCCCCCCACCTTCGCAACAGCCTGTCCCAAGGACTAAGAGAGGTCACAGTGAGCAGAGCACTTCGGGCAGCTAAATAATTAATGGAGGTGCGGTTTATTCAGGCTGCCATATCCGGGAGTGGCAGAAAAATTGCTGCCAGTACGAAAGGCTATCTGGCTGAGGGATGTAGCCCCTGAACTTGGCATGACCTCCAGTCCACTGTGTATTAATGGAGGTACTCCAGAAAAGTTTGTTAGGGCTGATGTGTTTTGAAAACAATGTCACGCTTCACAAGACATTATGGTCGTTTCATGTCTCCTGCTTGAGAAACACCTCAAGCATAATAACAAACTTCGTGGAGCATTTCAGCAAATAGATGACATAGCAGTTTTTTAAGACTTGTTAAAAAGAGCCCACAATGTTAGATGGACTAATAAATTGCTGTTCTTTTTTTTTTTAACTAAATCATCATTTTTGACAGAACACAATAATAGCTGTAGTTAGAACACTGGTTCTGTTAATACAATTCAACGCTATTGATGCTATTCCTTTAAAAGTGGAATATGCAAAAATATTTCTTGGAGGATCTTGACATACATCATATATTCACAAAGTTTGCTCATCATTCCAGAGGATAACTACAATTATTTGAGAAAGCAGTCTACTGCCACTCCTAAAACTGTCAAGTCCATGCTAAAAGCTAATAATATAATGTGAAGTTTCTTTTCCTTCTAATTCACACCATCACATACTGGCCTAATCTGGCCTGAAATGACTATATAAGGAGAAAGAAAAGAATGCACTTTCCTAGTTTGATAATGAAATGTTTGCAAGAAAACAACACCAAGCTCAGAGAGCACTAAGGACTCCACTAAGGAAAAAAAATATCTTTATTCAGAAAATATATTTATTCATAAATATCTTTATTCATTCTCTGTCTGTAGACTGGCACCCCACCTCCAAGTTGGTAGAAGAGCAAAAAATAAGCCACCTGTAAATTTTTATTGGCTAGAAATTCAGAGAATTGCAAGACTAATGCAGCTACATGAGTAACCGTCTAAGGATGAGGCTGGAATACACCACAATGTCAACCACCACAAAATACAATGTTAAAGTGCATTGTACTTCCATAAGAAAGAGTGACATAACCAGAAGGACCCAAGAAGAGCCTGCTGAATGAGACCAATGAGCTATCTAATCCAGCATTCTTTGTCACACAATGTCCAACTAGATAGTGTAACTTCTTGGTTATTCTTTAGTAGCTGGTATTTAAAATAAGCTGCTTTTAAGTTGATGATAATAAAAGCCCTAAAGCCAGGTAACAAACCTGCAATTTTAGCAAGAAACAGGTAGCCAGTTCTTGATCACTGGACTCCTAAATAATGAAAGATTCTCCTGCTTGTAGATAGGTTGAAATGCTATCATCACACAGAAAATAGGGTCTTGCCACCTTTATTTTCTAGAATCTAGAGTTCTACAACATCTGGTACAAAGCATCTATGGATATTGTCAATTATCCACGTCTTAGTTGTCCCAAAGATGCTTTTCAAAAGGCAACTGGACCTTCTTGGGATTTTTTTTTCCTTGAAAATGTTTCACTTTTCATCCAAGAAGCTTCTTCAGTTCTGCTTCTTCTTCAGATCTGAAGAAACTTCTTGGATGAGAAGTGAAACATTTTTAAGGGGGAAAAAAAAACCCAAAAGTCCTGTTGTCTTTTGAAAAATACCTTTGGGATATCTGGTACAAAGATGAGGGGACTCTTATCCAATAATTCTGAGAGGAAATCATGGCCATAAGGAACAATATTTCTGCAGGCTGGAAAAAATAGAGCACGTTGGAGTCAATGTTTATTCCTCAAAAATGTATTACAGCTAAAATTAGTAGTATAAATACCTCGGCAGAGTACTTATCTTTTCAAAAAAGTTAAAAAGAATAGAACAAGAGCAAAACAAGAATATTGCCCAGACTGGAACGGAATGTTATGTTCCATACATTGTCCAGAAAATAAATCTTGTGTCAAATAAAATTATCTGAGTTTTCAAATCGTAGAATAATTAAGTTCAATGTTCTGGGAAGTCCAAATCCTTCCTATTAATCAGCTGAATCCATCAGTTAGGAAATGCACAATAAAGAGTCAGAAGAGAAACATTTGTAATTTTTGCCCTTCTCTTTCTCAACTCTTCCTCCTTTGTTCTCAAACCCACAAAAGAATATCACAAAACAAGTCGTCAGAAGTCACTTTTAGGGGGGAAAAAAGATATTTAATTTGTCAGACAATTCTGAATTTGAAAAGTCATATCTGATAAGAACCACTTCCCCAATCCACTTAAAGAGTAGTCTGGATGAAATAGCAGTCAGGGACATTCCTCCTTAGTCTTCTGCCATTTACCCAGCTTCCATTAGCAGAGGGAGATTACATCATTCCTCATTATCAGAGCAGAGAATCTTTCAGCCAAAAGCTAGAAGCAGACTCATCCTCTAGCAAGGTACAGAGCAGCATTCTCAGCAAGACAAGCAGAAATCACGACTCAATGCAAGCCTCTTCAAGACTAGCTAGGGTCTGAGTCAGTATAAACTTGCTCCGTCTGCTTCCTGAGCACAGACTCTACAGGCAGGGTATGGTCCTTCTATAAACAGTAGAGAATACCTTTCCAATCAGAAGACGGCCCAAAGAACTCTCGTGGAGTCACTGTCCCCACACATTTGGAGGCTCCTATTTGGAGAAGTCTGGAAAAGAATTTACCTGCTCAAAATGCTTACACAATCAAAGCAAGCTAAACTTCAGAGGACATCAGTCTAGGAGGCCAGGAGAAGACTTGATGAAAATGCATTGCAAGAAACAGGAAGTGCTTCTTTTTATCAAGCTAGCTTCCTTCTCCTGCCAGCATGAGAGAAACAGCATCCCTTTTCAGCCCAAAAGAGAAGAGGCAAAGAGAAAAATGGCACACAATAGCAGCATAAGGACAGGATGGACATAAGCCAGGAACTAGCACACCAAAACATGAAGAGAAAGGGGGATACCATGAAAAGAACTGAAGGCATATCAAATAGATTTATTGAGGCGTAAGACTGTGCATCTCAGAACCCACCATCAGAGGTGAGGTGAGGCAACTCCACAGGGGAAAGTTTTTGTTCCAGAGTCTGAACAATTCCCCAAGGAACAGCACAAAAAAGATGAGAAAAGATAAGTCAGCATAATAAAATATCCTAAATGGAGGTGACTCATCCTCACCTGGTGAGGACGAGGTAAAGCAAGATGAGTAATGCCAAAAAAGAGACAATTACATTTCTGTAATGAAACTGCCACTCCCAGGTGTTTTTAAGCCTGACAGAATCCATTCAGCAGCACAAGCTTTTACAATGGGAATAGTTTGTGCAGTTACATGACACCACCCATCTCTTGTAAAGCCCTCTGGCCTCTCCTTGCAATTAAATTCCTTTACTTTCCCTTCATAGATCTGCATTTCCCACCCCACCCCACCCAAATCTGGGCAGTTTTCTTGCACTTCCGCTCTGGTTGGGGTGATAGTCCTTGTCCTTCAGTTCGAGAGAAGATCAAATTAAGGAAGGCTTATCCATATTGAAAGCACAATCGGCAATGAACTTTTTTGACAAAACAGTTACTGACAGCAGTCTTGCAAATTCCACCATTTTATGTGTCATTAAAATGAAAATATTGTTTTAATATAGTTTCCTTCTTTCATGTCCACTGGTGCCTCCAACATATTCAATCACCAAGTTGGTTGTCAAAGTCAGATAAGAATGTTTAGACTCTGACCACAATGTAAAGTAGATCCAACATCTTGCATAAACACAGACATTCAAAGTAAAACATCAAGCATTTTTTTAAAAATATGCAGCCTTAATTTTCATAAGAGGGAGGGATTAACAGAAGAGGAGATAATAAGGATTCCCAAACAATACCATGATGTCACATTCCAGGGCTTGGTCCAAAGATAGAAGGATTAGGAGAAAGCAAAACAGGCTTCAAATAAGAGTTCTTGCTACATTTGACCAGTTTTTCTCTCTCCGTTAAGAAGAATGGCCTCTATTAAAGAATAATTGGAGTGATACCCTTCTGATTTCCAAAACACTCTCTTGTGGGAGTAGACATGAGATGGGAAAATGCAGGAAGCATCTATTCCTCCAACAAGAGGCTGAATTGTGATCTGTAGATTGGAACTTCTCAGCACTCATAACACCGTATTTGTACAAAATGAACAAGATTCAATGCTCTGAATGTGGCCCATCATTGGTGGGGTGAAAATAAGGGAAGCTCTCAAAATACTGGCAAAACAGAGGTGGAATTATAAATTTGACTGAAGGCTCCAAGGAGAATAGAAGGCCCACTGTTCGGAACACAGAACAGGAGGTGGCATCCTGACCCAGTGACCCAGATTTACTGTAACAGATGTCAAGTAGAACGCTTGGTTTATGCATGAGAAAAAGAAATGCATTGCCTCAGCAACCAAGATGAAATTTTCTCAGTTCCCAGGATAACATCTCCATTCTCCATGTCTATCTGAGGCCTTGCCCCGGTTAGATGCTCCTTTGTGGAGGCAGGCTTTGTAAGACATCCTCAAGGACCATAATGTGTGGAGATCAGGACTCAAAACTTCTACCATCTGTGCTTGCTATATGGAGATGAAGCCTAAGGCAAAACAAGACATTAAGAGGTTAGGTTTTTTAACATTAGGGATGTAACTGGGAAAGAGACAGACTATTTTACACAGCATATAAGTAGAAAGGTCAGATAAAAATTCAGTTGCTCCTAAGATTACAACAGAATAATCCAAGGCTTACCATTTCGCTCGCTTGCCCGTTCCTTCCATCTTTCTGAACTGATGCTTGCTTACTCTGTGAAACATAAGCATCATCAGCACGCAGGGTAGAATTGGCACTGCCCATCATTTGGCTGTTGGCTGTAGCACGAGGGAGGATGACATCATAAGGGGCATTCAACTGAAAACCACAAAAATAATAAATAATAAAAATGAGGCAAAAAGTATAATCATGTTTTCGAAACGTGACTGTAATTGCAAAAGAAACCAAACCAGTATTGCTGATGATGCCAAAATATTTTAAGGCAATAAAAAGGCTTTCATAGACTTATATTCTCAATAAAGGAGAATATTTGTAGCTCAGGGTTGAAATGAGGGCTCTTTGATACTCTCTGAGCTTGGTTGTTTTCTTGCAAACATTTCATTGCCCGAAGTAGGTAACAACATCAGTGCTGTTGATGTTTATCTTGTTTAAGTAATGAAACATTTGCAAGAAAACAACCAAGCTCCGAGAACACCAAGGGCCCCTCACTTGTATTTCCTCATTTCCTAACACAGTTACAAGCTTACTGTCTCACTAAGGCCTGTCAAAGTAGCCTTGACATTTGCTAGCTTTGGTAACTATGATGTAGGTTTAGAATTGTGCGGGAGAAAATTGAATAGAACAAGGAAGACTGAGACATTTTGAAGGTAAACCACTGCTAAACAGTAATTTAGGGACACTATTCAGGAAAAATGAGCCTAATTTATGCCATTTTACTTTAGATCCACGACTGAAGGTTTCAAATCTTTCCTGAACCCTTAAAGCTTCTTGATTCTTTAATTGTACAAGTTCAAAACTTCAATAACAGTTGCCCAGAAAACTGCTGGAGAAGGCCTGGCTCTCACAGAAAACACCTGAGGCACTAAATTAATGTAGGCAATGTCAACTCAGGTGAGTAATTGAACAAATATTCACAACTTAAGCAATAACTGAGCTAAACTCCTCTGCTTAGGAAAATAGAGATCAAGGGGATTTGCCATCTCATATCCTTCTGTGTTTGGGAAGTAGGCCTTACACAGTTGTAATCACAGTTTTTGTTTGTTCATTTTGCTGTATAATGTTTTTTCTTTCCTTTTCTGTATATGGTAAATTGTTCGTTTTAATTTTATTTGCATTTTTTTTCTTTGAAAATGGAATAAATACTATACAAAAAATCAGATTAAAAATGAAAGCAATGAATTTGCTATTTTAAACATTTTTTTTAAAAAGGTTTGCACAGAAACATCCATGAGACTATCCGGCTTTTATTTATAGATTACACCCTCAAATCTCTCCTGCTTGTGATGACCCCTTTCAAACCGATATCTGACAAAGTTTTTGGATTAACATCTCAGAGAAGCCTTCATTTTTCTGGTCAAACATAGCCACTTCTTCTAACATCTTTTATAGATCCATTTTTGTTTTTGTTTTAAGCCTACTACCCAACAAATTAAGCTAAAGTCAAGGCAAGACAAAAAGGAGAAACAGCTGCCAGCACAACCGCACATTCACTTACAGGCCCACTGTGCATTAAAGTCATCTCTGTGGGCTGATAGACGCTTGTCAGAAGCTGCCCATTGTATCCGCTGTATGGGGACACTGGCTTTTTAGCTGGAAAGAGAGAAGCCACAGGACAACATCATTTAAATATACTATTCCAAACATTTTCACAAGCAAAACTAGATAGCATGGTTTGAATGGCAGGCTCTGGAGAATAATGCTGGTCAATAACTTAAGACAACTTGGTTTCTAGATCAGGGGTGTCAAATTCAAGGGCCACAGGCTGGATCCATGGGGTGTTTAGATCTGGCCCACGGGGCTGCCATGGGAACAGCGAAGGACCGGCCCATGGTGCTCTGCCAGAGCACTCGAGCTGCCACAGGCACCCCTGACACGAGTGACGTCAAGTTGGCCATGCCCCCCCCCCCGAGCTCCCCCGAGGTCAAACACAACCCTGATGCCCTCAGTGAAATCGAGTTTGACACCCCTGTTCTAGATGTAAAATTATGTTGATTTTCTTGGAATGAGAGAACCTGATGTGGTCAACTCTCCGCAGCCAACTCACCTCAGGACAACTCACCATGGCCAGTTCATCGAGGGACAACTTGCTGCGGGACAATTCAGCAATTCAATTTTAAGTATTTAAAATAATTTAGAAATTGTTTTAATTTCTGTCGTTCACATTTTATTTTGTCCATCCTTTTGCATCCTTTTTAAATTTATTCTATTCCACCATTTCTTCCATATTAATGTAAGTCCTGTCCAATGGCGAGTTGGCCGTGGTGAGTTGCTATGTGCTGAGTTGTCCTAGACCCAATTTTCTAGCACAGTCTTATGAGAAAGCTTCCACCTGAGACTGTAGGGTTTCATGTGAAATAAGAGAAAAATTATATTAAAAGCACTTTGGGGGCTAAAATCTCAACAACTGTTTGCGGCATCCCACAGTTTTTGGCATTTTTGTGTGTGTGTGGCTGGCTTCGCATGTATACTTCTGGTTTCTGAAAAAAGAATGCCCATTAGGGAAAAGGAACTCATTTAATGACCACTGTGTTTGCTTAAGAACTACAGCATTTGCTTAATGACCATGGCATTTGTTTAACAACTGCTGCAAAATAAGGTTGTAAAATTGAATGCAGTCATCGGGCACCCCAACTCCACAACAACCATGACTTATGACTGTAATTCCAAGCTCAGTTATAATTGTAAGTCAAGGACTACATGGTATATCTGTATTAAAATCTTAGCATACTGGTTTTATGTGCCCAGGTACTTTTATAGCTCTAGGAGCAGGGAAAGATTAAAAATAGAAAAAGAGAGCAAGAGAGACCCTAACAAATAAAGTCACAAGTTTGTATAACAGTGTATACTTTAAAAAAAAGCTAAACCCTTAAAGCTCTTCCCCAAATTAATGGCATCCTTTCTTACAAGTACACCTATATATAAACACATATCTATAATTCTTTCCAGTGAGTTGCTGTTGCTTATTAGCATCGTCTGATCAATGTAGTCCAATGAAAAAGCCATAAAAAAGCTACTGGGACTTTGTTTCATAAGCTGCCCATAAAACAAAGTCTTGTTTGCGGGTAACTATAGACGAAGTAAGTTTTAATGAGCCCAAGGTGCTTGGAGACTTTCTCTGAACAAGAAAATCCATCTGGATTTATGGCACTCAAGAGACAATGTTGGTTGTCTTGATGCTCTAAAGTTGAGCTCTTTCCAGCCCCTGCAATATGGCTGATGTAATCAGTAAGCCAATGACAATAATCCATACTTTCAAACTGACGCATGGGCCTAAAATAAATTTTGCTTATTATGTTGAGTCCATTTGTATATGATACACAATCAACAGGTTTTGTCCTGCATAGCATCAAATCCTAGCTGGTTTATCTTCAACTCACTTAAATAAAAAGGTGAACTCAGCTACTGGGTGTGCTATTCTAAATTGATTTTACCTTAGCTGAAAATAGTTTTAATGTGGTATCCTGGTTTTTATTTATAGTACTACATTTCTATCTTTCTCAGCAGGCAGTGGTTTCTGGCCATGTCAAAATATAAGGATATTTCTGAAGGTACGAGCCTAGAAATTCTGTAAACACATAATAAATTTACTTATCATTTATCACTGTATAAACTTAGATATAAACTCTACTAGATTTACTTCCTCCCAATAAAATATAGCCATAAACTTTATTATTTTATTCTACATGTAAATTTTAAGACAGAAAACTAAATTATAGAGCAGCTCAGATTTAGCAAAGCTGTCTGATTTTGATGCTATCAAAAATATTGTTCCATCTACTGAGCTACTGTCCAGCAGAGTTAGAAAATTCAACTACAAAGAACTGTTATAAGATCATAGAGTAGAATTAGATGGCATTGATACTATGTAAACTCCCTGCCCCAAAAGTTCACCACAATGACCGTACCATTCTTGAACAGATTACAGGCTACCCAGTACTCCTGGGAATCGACAAATTTAGGCAACTATAACATCATTCCCTGAAAGAGGCAGTTGTACGGATCTGATTCTTTATAACCACCAGATGCAGCTATTTTTCTGGTCTTCTCCAGCTGGGTCACAGATACCAATGACTATGATATCCACCCATAGGCAACATTGTTCTAAGCAAATAATTTTTCAGGACAATTACTCCTTGACAAACAACTATTTGTTTAGAAACTGTTTGAAGTTACAACAGATCTGAAAAAAGTGACTTACAACCACCTTTCAAACTTATGATTGTTGTAGTATCCCTATAGTCACTTAATGAAAATCCGGACTCTTGGCATGTGGCATGTATTCAAGACAGTTCCAGACCCCCCTCCCCCAAGTCCTGGGATTGCCATTTGACACCTTCCTTGTTGGGGTTCTGATAAACAGAGTTAATGTGGGAAGCCAGATTTACTGAACCACATGATTCACTTAACAACTGTGGCAAAAAAAAGGCCATAAAATTGGACCCAATACACTTAACAACTGCTTTAACAATGAAATTCTGGCCCCAGTTGTGGTTGTAAGTCAAGGACTACCCATAATCATTTTCATGTCTACATAAAAACATGTTAAGATATGTTTAGTATAAACCTGCATGCAGTTCTTCTGATTACAGTTTTTTCCCAGTCTCCTCATCAGTATCACATGCCTACCTGAAGAAGGTTCGTCCATTGAGAAAGCTTTGTTCTCCACAAACATGCTTTGGGATTTCTGCTCCTTGAGGATTGTTTCATAACCAACCCCCCTTGTGGGGTAGACATCATCCTCATAGGCCTGCTCTGGTCCTGGCTTGGTCACCTGAGAAATCTCAGGAATGATATAAAACAAAACAAAAACTGAGGCATTGGAGACAAGAGCAATAGCCATGGTGGGGTCATCCCAAGTTGATCTCTGGTCCTGCTGGTTGCCATAAATATACATAACAATCCATACTATCCAGATGGCCATGGAAAAGGAAGTAGTAAGGAGAATGAAAACGGCATGCTTTCTCCAGTGCTTGTGATGTCCCCACAAGACAGGCCATGTAGCAATGAAAGTAGCTACTTGCAGGAACATTACATAGATGAGTGCCATAACAAAGTCCTCGTTCTTCAGGTCACAGGGATCCTTGGTAGTACCATCATTCCTCACCACAGTAATAATGAGCCACTCAGTGTTGATGATGACTTCCACCAAGACGAGGACAAAAGCCATGCCAAAGGTGACCCATCCCCGAGGCCCAGTGTTTTGCCGGGCAAAGAAATTGAGACTGAGGCTATGGGCAGCCAGGCAGGAGAAGCAGATAGCAAAGAGGACGCCAAAGAGGAAGCGTCGTGAAGCACATGTTGAGAAGCCTTGCTTGACAATGAAGGCAAAGGTCAAGCAGAAAAGCCCCAAAGTGCCCAACAGAAAGAAAGCTTGAGTCCCTATTAAGCTCTTCTTCCGGTAGTCTTGGATAAAAGGCAGACTGGCCACTAAGACCACAGTGAGGACAAAGCTGATGACAACCCCAAAGCCGGCCATGGCTTCTAACACAATGCCCCAGGCGACAGATAGGTCACAGAGGTTGTAGTAGATGGAGTTCAAGTCCTTGCCACATCCTGGTGGTGGGGATGGTGGTGGTGAAGTCGCTTGAGCTAAACATGTTGTCATGGAAAGCACAAGAAGCCAAAGACATGGCAATAGTGTCCTGGGTGTAGCCATCATGATGGAATGATGGCAAATATTCTTGGCTCTTCAGGAAAGAACTAAAGGAAAAAAAGAAAAAGAAAAGATACAGTGTCTATATGAAAATGCTGATATTTTAAATATTTTTCTTCTCCAGACAGATCCAATATTTTTGCAACTGAGAGTCATTACTTGGCCTTTGGATCATTACTTGGCCTTTGGATCACACACCAAATTGGACACAACCAGGACAAAGTAGGGTTTATTACACCTGAATAAAATAAACACTGTCCAAATAAATATTTTCCCTTATTCCTTGTATCACATTAAACATTACAATATGATGGTAACCTTTAGAAAGGTTATGTAGCCAGAATTTTGGAGGCCCATACAAAGCCTTGAAGCCTCTCTAACTCCATGCTAGTCATGACCATGTTAGTTAGGCCTCTTTGGTTCACCTCTTCAAGTACCTTTAATATCACTGCTAAACTCTTAACGGTGTCTGTCCTAGGTTGATTATTACCCTGAGAAGTACTGTGGAAGATAGAAATGCTTACAGTGGGAGGGTTAGCCAAGGATCAAGGTTTATTTGATACAGCCCTACTTCTTGAAAGCACTTTTCCATGCCAGCCAAACTACATATTCCAGAAGACAGCTAAATTTAGAACTTTTAATTATGAGAAAGTTCAAGTTTATTAAAGTAACAGAGCTGGGTGATTGAATGTATCAGACTTATTCAGCTTGGCTCACTGAAACTTTAAGTTCCATTATCCCCCAATCATGGGCCATGCTGGCTGAGGCTTAGAGGAGTTGTACTCCAAAATTCTGGAAGACAGTTTATAGAATGACTCAACACTTTATCCTGAGTTGTTCCCTAAATCTAGATCAGAGAAGGCTAATAGTTAAGGCAGATCAAGAATTAATTTTCTAGTCTGTTTATATTATTTAGCTAATAACAGCAGCACTCAGATATAAGGGCCCCTGGACCTACAGTACTCTAAGGTCAGAAAATCCAGTAGTAGTGTCCAAAGTAACATTGATGTGATTGTACCTAGATTAAAAACAACTGCAGCTAATATGGCCAGTCAGTAGTTGTTTTTCCATGACAGATTTAAACTAGCCTACTCCTTTTAACTTGTGGTTGACCAAGCCTATGTGAATTCATGGTTCAGTGAACCCTCAAGATTAAATCCAGAAGCCTAGGTTAAGTTTACTGTGGGTAAAACATGATACAGACAGAAGCCACAAGGGAGCACATAGGTCAATTATTTGATTTGCTATGAGGCAGTTTTTTATATTTCTACCTCACAGTGTTTTGTGGCTTGCAGCACAGTTAAAAACTTAGAGCAATCTGAAGGACAAAGCATTATGATACTAAACTGTAAAAGTAGCTATCCAATCTTAAACATGGAATTAAAAAGAATATCCTAAGACAGCATTCCCCAACCTTTCCAGGTTTGTGGCCCAGCACAGGGGGATGGGGGGGGGAAGGGGGATAGTTTTGTGTGAGGAGCAGGTGCGTGTATGCCCTCACTCACGCACGTGGGGCTGTGAGCACCAGAGCTCACCGAGAGCACCAGTCGGGCTGCGAGCACTGCCAGCCCACCATCACATGGCCCAGTTGTGAATAGGCCGTAGTCCACAAGTTGGGGACCCCCGCCCCAAGAGACTAATAATCAACAATCTGGCCAATACAAGCAATCTAAAATTTAAAATAGAAAGAAAACAGTCATCATCTGATGTCAAAAGCTACAAGCAGCTGTCTTTAAAAAGGTTCGGAATAAGATGGCAGGAGCCACTGAGCAGATGGCCTGTTTAAATTAGAAAGAGAGGATTTTCGTTCCCCTCTTCCTTTCTAGTTTCTGGGAAAATTAATATATTAGAAACACACAAGAGGTAGATGGGGTATCCTGTTGTATAAAGTTAGCACCCGCCCCTCTCCTAGAAGGATGAAATATTCTAGGAAATATTAAAAAGGCAGAATATTATACCTTCCTGGATGAGAAAAGGAGAAACATGCCCTTGGAAAGCAGTCCCCACCTTTGTTAATAGCCCCAAAAAGACATCTTATCTACAACATAAAAGCTCCAGGGTAATGGGATTAAGACCTGGCCCTCAGGACATGATAGGATTAGCCCTCTACCCATCTCACCACATGGCACCTGGGAAGATTACATCACCCAGCAAGATTCAATCAAGCTTGTGACTCAAGACAACCTACAAAGTTACCTCTGCATGGTCCCATGGGAGTCTGACAACCAATCAGGATACATTTCTTGCCACAGGAACAGGGAGCAAAGCCCAACAGAGATTATAAATCTCTCTCCCTCTTTCACCCATGTGCTCTTTTTTGCCCAGGACCTCAATGTGGTCCTGTTCATCATTAAACCGTCTTTCCAAGCAGTCTCCATGTTTCCAGTGTCTTTCTTTCAACTTGGAACTGAACCCAGATAGACATTTCTTCCAACACTGTCAACAAGAAAATCTCTATCAGGATTCAAAGAGAAAATTGCTGCAAACTCTGCACAGGCATCAGGAAAGGTATCTAGCCAGTAAACGCTCAGCTCCACCCACTTGTCCTGATTCCACCCTGAAGTAAGAGATTGCATGGCTGTTGTGTTTTGTTTTGTTTTAAAGTCAAGCAGGTTAGTTGGTATACCAATAAGCTGCTTTTGGTGGCTACTGGAAAAGCCCAAGGGATGAATGCTATTGATGTAAACATTTAACAAAAGTTCAAAGCAAGTTGAGAGAAGCCTTTCCTTCTTCTGTAGAGCAGTAGAAAAAGGTTTGTGCCACCTCCCACTTCTTTTGCTAAGTTGTGGCAGAGCTGATAGTAACAGACTTGTGACGTTTGCACAGAGAAAAGGAGGCTGATAAAACAGTGCAGGGGTTAAGTGGGGGGGGGGGCACAGGGAGGAGAGAAACTGCACAGACTCCACATAAAGAACCTCTCTCTTTGGCTAAACTGTTCTGGGGGACAAGCATAATAAGAACGTTGCCCCTCCATTTCATTGTATAAAACATTTGCCAGCTCAGCTGTGCTCCTCTGAGATATCACCCTCTAGCCCTCCCTTTGCTGGGCTCTTACTCAGGACTGCCTGGTTCCCAAACTCAGAGGAATCCATGTACTTCTAAATTCGGGAGGGGGTTGGAGTGCTCACATGTCTCCAAATCTGATTACTGCAAGGGACCAATCAGGCCTAAGGTGTGTTTCAGGGGCTGATACTTGGGCCGGGAACTTTGTAGACTTCGGTTTCCTCTCTATTTAGAAGGCAGCTCTGTCTAGACCAGAGGTCCCCAAACTTGGCAACTTTAAGACTTGTGGACTTTAACTCCCAGAATTCTCCAGCCAGCTGGCTGAAGAATTATAGGAGTTGAAGTCCACAAGTCTTAAAGTTGCCAAGTTTGGGGATCCCTGCTCTAGAAGGACTGAGTTTTCTTCTATAGGCATGCAAATAACCCACTTTATATCTATGGATTCGGGGCTTTTCAGATTTAAAAAGCAGCCATCCAGTTCCATAGGGGGGAAAAAACTCATTCCCTACTCATTCAGACTATCATCCTATTTGCTGAACATTACAACCTAAAGAAGAATTCTTAAACCTTCTTCATATCCAATTTTTCACAGTCTACCAATAGTAATCTTGACACCAAAGGTCAAAGGAACCATGCATCAGAGTGTCAGAATATAAAGCAACAATTTTTAGTAGGGATCCTTTAAAAGGGCCCTGTTGCTAAGGAACAGATCAGGAAATCACTGAGCTCTTGCTTGTTAGATATTATTTCTATTTCATGTGGAATCTCAATTGTTTGGGTTAAAACTTGAGTTATAAACTTAGCTTTTAATATTGTACTGTACCTCTGGGGTTGAAAGCATATGAATCCTAGTTGCAACAGCTAAAAATAATAATATTAAAGCAGGAAAGTTATAAGCTATGGTTAAGCAAGAAAACATCAGGCCAATGAATTTCCTGTCCAGTTGATTTCTATTTATTTAGTCTCTATGCATATTTTACTACCATTTCTGACAACAGACTTTTAACCAGTAACAACATAATAACTGAAATAAAATAACTAGCCCAATTCAGTCATTGTCTCTGGGTGATGGTGATAATCCTGTGGAGTTTGGATTTATATAAAAAAAATTTTTTTAAAGTTACCAACATTATTTCCAGCAATGTTTCAATGCAGTAAAAAAAATGGCAAGCTAATTTAATAACAGCTTTTCAAGTCTATTAATTCTAATATTTACATGATCTTTTTTAAGCTTATGTAAATGAGCACTGCATGAGTTGCATGCTCTAGACATCAAAGCTGGGTCGGTTTACCCTTATAGAATATTATACTTTTCACTGAGAGATGATTTAGCATTATACTCTAAAAGCTACAGCATCCTCCAATATCCCTTCAACATACTCATGCAGCCTTAGCAAAGGAAGCACCAAAATATCTTAAGCAACTACATACCATAGGAAGCCTACAGATTTTAGAGATTTAAGCAAAATACACAAACACTTGAACATCAAATATTCCTTTTAAAATGCACTGTCATATAACACCTTAAATTACTCATATGAACAAAAGCTAAGCTCCCTAATTTAAGAGGCTGCTGAGATATGACTCTAATAGCCATCGTTTCCTTATTAGCACAATACTGTGCAATTTCACTTTAAAGAGCATTATTTGTGAAGCTTTATTCTGAATGTCTTATCAGGAAAAGAAATAATCTCTCTCCCCCTCTCTCTCCCCCCCCCTCTCTCTCTTACACACAAACTCACTTTATCACTATTACCAATGGGGGGAAAACATTTGCAAAACATCAAAGTCAATTTAGAGCATACCAATGACGATCCAAACAAATACACACCTGACAAGTGATGTGTGCAGCATCACTAATACACTGGCCCTAAATAAATTATGGTTATTTGGAAGCTATCAATTCTCTAGTTTTAACCTGCTTGCTCCAGCTTGAGAATTAACAACACAAAGGTAGGCATTTCTGGTATCTGAACTACTGTACTGCAAGCCCAAAGTTCATATAACTTAATTTTTAGAAAAAGGGGCCTGGCAACTTGGCCTG